GCAGGAATGGAAATTTAAAATTAAAAATCTTTGCTTTTAGTATTTATTAGTATAAATGCTTTTAGAGAACGGGCTGTTCTTTTTAGTCTCTACTACGATCATTAAATGAGTGTTCAGGAGAAGGGGTTGTAGGCAAGTTGCCATGTACTAACCTTATGGTTAAATATTGTTTTAATTTCTTTGCTGATTATATTTCAAGATGTTCCTTCTTTTTGGGTGGTGTTGTCAGTAGAGAAAAACTTTTCCCAGTGAGAATGAAGGTCCTTTTCTCTACTTGACAGATTTACAACAGTGCCAGAGTCTGTGAAGTTAATGCAGATTTGTGAAATTCAGGGTGTGTATGAGCATCTGGAACATTGGCTTCTGTCTTAGTAATACCTTTGTATGTAGCAGTTCATTAATCTGCTGGATTTTTCAGATAAAACCAGAGAACAGTCCTTTTCCTTCTCAAAACTTACGTTCTAAGAGACATGGCTGCCCAGGCAGTTGACTTGGGGTTCAGATGGAATAAGCTGTGTTAATCTCAAAGCCACTTCCAGCATTCAATAATAATTATTTCTGTCTTAAACTGGGAGAAAAGGATAACTCTTCTTGATGCTCTCAAACAGGAACTTAAAACCTAACTTAAACATCTGTGCTGTAATGTGGAAGTATAGAGGAGGACTTCCAGTGCACAAGACTCTCTCGAATTGCCCTTATTTATCATCTGGCTCATTTGTTCTGACATGCTGGGTAATTTTTTTGAAGTACTTTTTCCAGTCAATAGGAATTATTTGAACTTAACTGTTTTGATTTTTTTTCCTTTTCCTTTTTCTTGTAGTGATGTTTACCTAAACATAAACCCTCCTTCAGCGATAAATCTATGATCTTAACAGGGGAATCAACATGTGCAACCCGTGGCTTGGATCCCACTTCTAAAATGTATGAAAGGGTTTTTTAACCAACAGGATGCTTAATAGGGAGAGAGGATGTCCCTAAGAGAAGGAAAGGCTCTGGCTAGCGCGCTCTGACTCTGCTGCTGTCTTGCAGATACAGCTGACGTTAACCTTGGCTACTGTAATGCACTGTAGTATTGTTTTTCTTCTAAATTCAGATATTTTCCTGATATTTCTTTAAAGTATTTAAAGATAAAAAGCACAGCTTTAGCCCATTTTTAGGTCCATTCTTGCTCTTTAATCCTGAGTTAACTGCTGTGATGGAGTAGATACACTTTCTTTTGTAAAAGATAGATTAGAAGTTTTAGCTCCCAAATTGCTGGTTCAGCAAGGAAAAAAAAATACGGTCATGGCAGCAACGTTGCCCTTGGTGATTTCTTATCTATGCTGGTGCCAGGAAACCGGTATGTGGGAAGACAAATGTTTTAAGTCACTTTTGGTGTCAATTTTGAGTCTTATTGAGGGGCCAGATTTGACTGGATTTTTACTTCTGATGGCTGCTGATGCACTCAGCAAAGCAGAAGTTGGTGTTCTCTGATGACATGCTAGCATGCCCTGACCTGTCCCCATGCTAGGAAAGGGAAGGATCCACAAACTTCCCCTGGGTACGAGTCCTACACCCTCCAGACTGCTCTGTAACAGGAGGACTTAGCTGGTGCTTGTGGTTTAATTGAAACCCCTTTTTTCTCTCAGCTAAAAGGGTCTCCATGCAGTCCTCATCAAAGCATCATGCCTTCCTTCTCATCTTTTATTATTCAGTGAAAAGTGTGTGTGTGTGCATGTTTGGGAATATAAGCTTTGATTTTGAGATAGCTTGACCTAACTTGATATTCCAAAGATAAGGACATATAAAAGAGTGCTTTGCTCAGATTTGTGTGCACAAGAACTAGAAAAGAAAACAATCCCTACGTTTTTTCCCTTTGGAAATTATCTTTCTGTTCACAATCAGTCTCCCAAAGAAAAACAGCTCCTGGCACCTGTGAACTAGACAACACTGATACGGTTACATTTTTCTAGTTGTTGCAGTAGAGCAGTCTGAAGCTGCAAATACCTGACAGTTGCATTTACCTGACCCCATGCCTGGTGTTGTTCTCAGGTTCCCAGAGATAAAAGGCTGTTGTCTGTTAACAAAGTGAGTGATAATCAAGAAGACCAAGATAAAAGGTACAGTATTATTCAAAATCATACACCCAGCTACTAACAGTGTGATCAGTTTGTGAACTGAAGGAACTATGATAGCCTGAGGGTTTATGGTTTTCTTCCAAAAGATAAAAGAATGAAGACTGTTTTGGGAAGCAAACTTTACTCCTTTTTACTTTTAATTTATTAAAAAAATTGAACAGTATTATTAAACATGCAATTTGCAAAGTAGCAGAATGTTTCATGAATTGTTTGTGTTTCGTTTTGGTTTTTTTCTGCTGCTGAGATTAGTAAAATCAGATTATATTCACGGTTGGCTATTGGCTGCTTTTCTTTCAATTTTCTTCTTCTAGAACAAAAAGTGAGTAGTTTGGCCTCAGTAACCTGATTTATACAGTTTTATTTAACATAACTTAGGGTCTGCCCAGAAGCAAATAAAGTAACTCTTAAAATAATTCGCTCACAATGTTTTTCTCACTCCTCTCAGATTTCAGCCCTCCTCTGTAGGCTAAAAGTGACTTGAAGAGTCAGAGAAAGCTGACTTCTGCCTTTATTAAGGCTTTTGGGTTTTAGTGTATATTTAGGTAGAAAGAACTAAGTTTTTACACACAGGAAGGTACCTTCATGGAAAATTCTAGTGGAGAAGCTACACAAGGTTTATTTCAATGCAGCTAATTCGGGACAGCCTTAGATCATGTCCACTGGCTGTGTAAGGTGAAAGTTTCAATAGTTACTAGTATAAATTCACTGTTTCAAAACAGAATATGAAACTTTTTTGAGTGTAATTTTTTTTTCTGTGAATGCCAGAGAAATTCCTAAGTTGAATGTGATTGACAAAACTGGCCTTCAGTGGAAAGCAAAGAGAGAGGAACTGTAATGTCAGAACATATCTCCTGCTTGAAAACAAAGCAGTGTGTTACACCTACTAAAAGTTTTACGAGTTAACAATTTTATGTCAGTGCAACTATCAGCAATCAGATTGCTTTCAAGCAACCGTGGGTAGACGTGGGAATGCTCCTGGAGGTTACCTTTGCCAGCCGCTATAGTTACTGATCTACCCTTGATACAATGGGCTTGCTCTTTCAGAAGAGCATTGGTACCAGAGTTACACAAACAGTAGTGGCCTGTCAATAGCCTGAAAGAGCATGCATCAGCGTATGGATTTTGCTGTTGATATTCTGCCTATTTCATATGCAAATTATGTACTGAGAATAATCCATACCTCACCTTAATCTTTATGCTTGTTTTGTGCCTAAAGGCTGTTGCACTGGTGGATTGATTTTGCATCCAATTTATAAGCCAAGGCAAAAGCAACCCCAGATACCCAGAATTTATTGTAACAAGTCATACCAATTATAGGTC